ACCTTGGCTACCTTTGTGAAACAGATCTGAGATCAGTGCATGTGAGCATCGGTCAGAAAAAGCTGGACTCTGGCTCAGCCTGTCATAGGAGGGCCTGTTAGGTAGCATGTTGTATTTAGGTTTAGTTAGCTTGTGGGCTCAGGTTCGCATCTTTCATACTCTGAAACAGCTACCAGGGTGCCCGTCAGTCACATGGTCAGGGATCCCAGCATCCCCGTGCTCAAGAGTCAGTGACCACCATGCTGCCCACACACGTGTCCATCTGTGTGTGTCCACTCATGTCTGGTTTCTGTCTTCAGCTCCGGCCCAAACTTTACAAACGGCTGGTCATCACCAAAAAGCTAGGCACAACTCAAATCCTTTTCCATTGTCTTTTATTCCTTGAATTTGATGATCAGATTTTCTGATTTAGGACTGGAATTAGGATTAGGTTGAAAACCTTTCAAAAGTAAATCGACAAACAGAAGTTGAATTAGTTAAAAAAAACATTTTTAAATCAAACAAGTTCACTGTGGCTCCACCATAAGCACAATAGAAACTGAACATCACCAGGCCACAAACCACACTACAATATCTTCCAACTCAATATCTACCGTTTAATAAACAATATCTTAATAACTAACTTAATTTCCTCCTTACCAGTTGTGTATCTGGTGATCGGACCATTAGCTGAAACCTGATTGGCTGAGAGCCGGTCTCTTCCTCTGTCTGCCAAACTGCCACACAGGTGTGCACAGGTGTTTTAACCACAGGAAGTTCCAGCCCCCAACACAAGTTCACTCCTCTTTTTTCCTACCTTTTCCTCTTTTTTGACATTTTTGACATGACAGTGTGAATGTGTGTGATTGGGCTAAAGCACAACAAAAGAACAGATCATTTATTTGAGCCGACTGGTTTACTGGTCAGATCAGGTTTGAAACATTTTTATCTCGGTTTAGGAGTGTGAACGCCATAATGGAGGCTGTTTTTTACCAGATCTGACGGAGAGGTGCTGGCTGGCTCCAGAGTCTTTTCTCCCTTTTTCTTCTCCCTGATCATAATTGATCACATGGTATGTGTGCTGTTTCTAACTTGCCTTTCTTTATTCCTTTAGGAAACAGCTTCTCGTGTGGCCACATTTCCCTCAGTTTTGCAGCTCTCCCACTCACATTCAAAACATTTTTTTTCACTTAATACTGTCTCCACAAAGTTCCTTCATCCCCTGTTCTTTTCTGTCTGTGCTGCACTCTGTGTCTGCTTCCACTTGGCTTATCTTGTGAATTATTCACTCTTACCGCTTTCAGCCACCTCTCTTATCACCCTGCTCCCACATTTCACCATCTCAGCCTGGATTTTCAGCCCAAGCAGCCTCATTCCTTCTACCAGAATGTTGTTTCCTGCCCTGCTTCCTTCTCCCCTTTATAGAATATAGAAGAAAACATTGTGACAGCAAACAAAGCCAGCATGATCCAGAGCCACGGTGTAAAACACTGATTTCTAGTTTGACATTCGACTGGGAAAACGTCCGAAAAACACACGACAAAAACAAACATGTCTGTCCTTTCATCGTCATTTGGTTAAATCTGTCTGAAATCATTGGTCCTGCTTCAGTCCATCGTCACTCATACACACGGGGGACCATCCACTAAAGAAAGTCTGATGCTTCCACATAAAAAAAGAAAGAAGATGATGGCCTTTTATTTTCAAGTTGATTTTATGAAAACAGACATTTCCACTGTTAACCATGTCTCATGCCCCACAGCACAGGGAGATGTAGATAATAGCCTCAAAGACAGCAGCAGCAAGGTAACTCCAGCTTTCTGAATAATTCATGGGGCAACAGTCATCTCTGGAGCGCCGTACTGCAGCTATTTAGGGGTCCCCTCTCCCTGTCCAGCCTCAGTCCTCTCTCAGGCTCATCAACACACCACTTCCTCTCAAAGAAACTATGTCATGGTCATGGAAGTCAAAGCCGGTCTTTCTTCCTCATCTTATGTCCAAAATGTCTCTTTTTTAGCTTTCCATTCAGTTTATTTTTTAAATCAGAGACACACGGATTACTTTGCTTCCTCTTTTTGGAGATGTTTTACCTTTCTGTGCAACAGTTTGGAAGTAATCATACAAATGAGACATTTAGCAGAAATGCACATTTCAACCTGATGTCCAATAAATTTGTCCCATGAAATGAATTTCGAGTCTCAACCTAAATTCAAACACTTATCCACAAACCCTGTTCTATCTGATGTCTCCATTTACACAACACAAGTCAGCCGAGCTCTCCTGATTAGGTAGAAAGGGCTGGAACATCAATGATATCAACTCCTCAGGAAAATATACGTGTCATTTTTGAATATGTGCTCAAAATATCTTAGTTTAAGCTTCCTGAAACAGACTGCCAACCATTAGGCGTGTTTGAAAAGGCTTTGGGCTGCTCCGACTATCCCTCTGAATGCAGCTTGTTTTGGTGGAGGAAAAAGCTGGGCAGGGTTTGGATGCTAGCAGCTCCAGGCTCTGAAATAACATTCAAGAAACTTGGACGGAGATCAGACCTCCTCTGAGAGACAGAGAAAGGCAGAATGTTGAGGGGAGAGTCTGTATTTCATACAAACTAAAAGCCACCACCAGTCAGAAAGAAAAACAAACCATAATTCACTTTAAACTGAGCTGAGGGAAACTCCTCCTAGATGCTGGTTCTTCTGGTGAAGCCGGGGCAGATTTGGGCTTTGAGGGGGCTGAGCAAGTGACCAGTGCTGTGTGTGGGGCTGCCGGGGGGGTCTGGGGGGCTGGTAAATGAGGCTAAAGGGCATGAGAATGCCAGGGCAGCAACATGGTCACATGCTGAAGAGTTCCTTTCTCTGTCAAACATATTTCTACACCAAAGTACATTTTGGAGGAAAAGTAGGCTTCAGCCTTTTTCTTGTGTACAGCCGGCCTGTGTTCTGACCTTCTGACTTTAGATGACCACTTTTCATTCAGCACACAAAATGGTTTGGGTTCATTTGGGTCATTATTTACCTCAATAGATGCGGCTCTTCCTTTATCTCTGTGTCTGAGCACCTAAAAAAGAGCTGCAGCCCTTTTTACTGCT